ACCACAGGAACTACACCTGGACCACAGGAACTACACCTGGACCACAGAAACTATACCTGGACCACAGAAACTACACCTGGACCACAGAAACTACACCTGGACCAGTCATTTTGTATTTGTCTCTAGTCCTCTCCAACACCAGCTGGTCAATGCAGATGGCCACCCATCCTGGTTCTGGTTCTGCTGGCGGTTTGTTCTTGCTAAAGGGAGTCATTTCTGTCCACTGTCTCCATCAGTCTGCTCAGGATGGAGGACTGCACTGAAGTGAGGATTCATCTGCTGGCACTTCATGATCAACTGTACGTGAACGTACTGAATTAACAGTTCGTACTGGAGCCTCGATCTGAAATGGATTCACGAGTTCGACTTCTTTCCTTTGACACAGGGTCCTGAGATGACTTGTTGTGAATTGGTGCTCCATAAATAAACTGAAATGAATTGAAAACGTTTGTTGGTAAATTTTAATTGTCTGAACCAGCTCACATCTGTGCACGATAACAACGTAAACCAATATAAACCACAAACCCAGTAACCAACACAGCTGGTTCTCTTCACTAATAATACCAGTTATGGTCCAAAATTGCTGCCAAATAATAAATTAACAAAGGGGCTAATATTCAGAATAACATATCTCAGATGGACCCATAACCCATGCAGTTCCAGTCACACGTGCGCAGGGACTCCATGATTCATGTTTTGGTTTTAACCGTTACACAAAATAATCACAGTGAGCGTATGAGCACAGCGATACCTGAAGTTTGTTTCAGATGGATGAAGTGAGCTTTCATTCACACAGAGAGATGAAGATGGACAGATAAAAGATTAAGGATCGTATGAGTCGAATGGAGAAAAGAGAACGTTGCATTGAAATGGGCATTGTTGTGTTCTGACTTCATTTAAAATCATAAATAAGTTGCTATCCTTTAGGAATAAATTGGTGATCTTAAATAGCATTCTAATATTAACATAAAAGAAGGGTGTGAAGCGCAATTAAAAGACAAAGCCTATATAAAAACCCTGTCATGTCTCTGGTGTTCTACACCTCATTTGACCTTTCGGCTTCCTGGAGTAACCGGAGAACCGTGCCGTCCAAACGACACGTATTTTGACAGTTTCTGACCACAACATTGCACCTTCTGTGGCTGCGCTGCACACGGCTTCAGCCGACTGACATCCAGGGGCCAGGCAAGAGGAGAGAGGTGACGGCGTGTGACAAACTGGGGGTGTGGGGGAAAAGGGGCAGGGTGACGGCGAGTCTGGTGTGCAATAATGCCTCGGTGACTTTTAATGCCTGGTGACGGGTTTCAGCTGCTGCTCCTGAGGCCATTTCATGTATATGACACATGCACTTGCCTGGCATCTGTGACTGGCTGAGTGACTCCCCTGCAGAATTTCTCTCAGAGCTCTTGTTGCCTGTCAGACTCCCCCCTCAGGACTTTCAAATGCACCCGACACCGAGCGCTGTGAACTCGCGCTACACACGCTAGCTAAAGATTTCAGCAGGGAAGCAAACTATTGCCTTGGGAGCCAAGTGAAATGCAATTTTTACACAAAGGGGAAAATAGATGATGCATTTCATAAATGTCTGCACGTAGTCATGAATAAAAAAGGTGAAAATGGCCTTTTCTGTTTTACTTTTAGCTGCAAAGGCGACATTGAAGAGCAGGTGCGTCAGGATTAGATAGATCTGCAAAGGGTGAAATTTGGAACACCTGCTCACAAACGATCACCGACAAAAATGCAGGAAAATATTTGCATAAATGCACGAAGCTAAATCAGTTCTTTGGCTATTTTTAACAATTTTCTTTTTCTAAACTGGTACGTTTGTGCTATTTTAGCTGCTGTTTTTATAGGTGTATTAGATGGAACTGAAATTATTAAAAATAAAAGGCAAATAAACTTGAAATGGCCACATTTAAAGTTTTATCTGTAATTTTAAGTGTTTCCATTACATTTTACACTAAAAATAGTTTAAATATATGGCAGGTAATTAAAATTTCAAATCTTTACTGGTTCACGTTAAATATAATCTATCAAAACCACAACCAACTGAAACATTAAAGAAGGGCAGACTAGCTCACAGCTAACATCGATAAAATTTAACATAATTAAATTCGGACTGAAGCTAGCATTTAACTTTATTGCTGTTATGGTAACGGCTCTAACAATTGCAATAATTATTTTATTTTGGACTAAAATAACAAATCTAAACTCTTTAAAATTCCTAAAACAAGTCGTTTGGTACCCAAGACTAAATAAATTCTTGCCATTTCCCTGAAAATTAATTTGTGTTAAACTAATTCTAGCAGATGTTTTCCCAATTTAAACTAATTTTAAAATAATTATTTTAGACAGATCTAAAATTATAAAATACTTTATTAAAAGTAGAATTGACAGGCACGTTTGAATCTGTCATCATGATGACACTTTTCAAATGCAACCTAATGTAATGTAAATTCAGAATTGAATTCAAAATCTTACTTCTAACCTACAAAGCCCTCAACAACCTAGCTCCATCTTATATTACAGATCTTATTTTCCACATTTTCCTAACAGAGCACTTTGCTCTCAGACTGCAGGTTTACTTGCGGTTCCCAGAGTTTCTAGAGCAGAATGGGAGGAAGATCTTTCAGTTATCAGGCTCCTCTCTTGTGGAACTAACTTCCAGTTTCTGTCCATGAGGCTGACACATTTTCCAGTTTAAGACTGGGATTTTAAGACTTTCCTTATTGATAAATCCTATAGTTAGAGTTGGCTTGTTATGCTGCTATAGGCTACTGGAGGACAAATTGACCTCATTTCCTTAAATGAATTGTTAAAATTGAATAGTTTTCATTTGATACTATTTCTATCTTAACATGTGATTCTTGACCTGCCATTGTGTATCTGTTCCTCTCAACCCCAGCCTGTCGAAGCAGATGGCCGCTCGTCCTGAGCCTGGTTCTGCTAAAGGTTTCTTCCTCGTGAGGGAGATTTTCCTTTCCACTGTCGCCGTCATGCTTGCTCAAGATGAGAGAGTTCTGTGATGGAGTTAAACTCAATTAAAACAGTCTGCTCCTCAGATAAATAATGTTAAATTATTATTTTATATACGAATGTTTCTGTTCAGTGCCTTGAGACGACTTCTGTTGTGACTTGGCGCTGTATAAATTAATTGAACTGAATTGAACCCATGTCTAGCAGCAAACCCTTTTTTAAGAAAACATCTTTTTTAAGGCATTCTCACTACATTGCGTACTAGTTGCATTTAGAAAATATTGGAATTAGATGTGTTTAAACCCTCGTTGGTTTACTTTTACTCCAAAATATAAGCTAGCAAATAACCAACAATAAAGGATAAAGAAATATGGACTAGCTAGTAGCTAAAACTGCAACATTCTGTATCAGTAAATTCATTTAGTGGCTGGTAACAAATTCGACTGCGTTAATCCTGAATTGATTTGCATACACAGTATAAATGCCCTGAAGGATAATAAAAAACTAAATCTGCCCACAGTTAGGTGAATAGCCATGTCTGTTAAACACTCATAGAACAAATGAAATGACTGGAGCAGGAAGGACAAGAGTGTTGACGTGGGGGCATGAGGACGGGACAGTGTATGGATGATGGGCATGAGCTGACAGTTCCTCTGCTGAGGAGTCAATAAAGACAGGAGGTGAAGTGGAAAAGGTGTGAAAGCATGCTGGCAGTGAACGGGGCCACTGGGGGACTAACCTATGCACACATTTTCATCGTCCAGTTCTGCTGAGGCATTGCGGTAGAAGCCCAGTTTGCACAGCTGGCAGTGCTGGCCCCTAGTGTTGTGCTTACAGCTCACGCAAATGACGGTGTTTAGCACCTGGATGTAGCTGCATCGGTTGGAGTGGCCGAAGCATTCACAGTCTTGCAAAAAGAGAGGAGATGTGAAGGGAAGAGAGGGGGGGGAAGAGAAGGGTGGGATAAAAGAGGCGCTGTAGAGTTGTAGGTGGTGCGAGTGCTACAGCGGACGTGTTAGCAAAGGTTTGAGCGGCGCTATGGCATGCGAGGTTGAAAATGCCGATGCTGCATGGTGGAGGAGGAGATGCCGATTAATCTGGCGAAGGCACAGCCAGAGTTAGAAACAGACATCACAGAGTTAGAGCACGTTGTTAGTTGGATCTGAGCGGCCACATTACCACAAACACACTACAACACTGGGCAGGTTAGGCTCCGAGACGATGCACGATAACAGTAGAAGACCACAGATGAATGAAACGCCACCATGAATGGATGAATTCATCAGCTGCTCGGTGCAGTGGGAGTTCTGCACGACCCAAGTCCCAATGGTTTCTCTATTTAAAGGAGTAAGAAAGATGAAGAGATGATGCCACGAGCCTAAATTACACCACAGCTCATGTAGCTTTTTATCCAAGACGCCATTAATTCACACAACATGTTTCCTAACTGTCTAAGGCGTTGCTTCAAAGGCTAAGCACAATGACAGTAAAGCAAAGGTAGTGTATAATTAGATCTATTGGGATTGTGAAGACATTGCATTTGGGAGGTGTGCAGCCCCGGCTCAGTCTGAGTGACCACGGACGCCATGTGTCACAGCACGGACAGATGTGACCCTTAATCCTTGTTGGAACCCGGGAGGAGGCTCCAGAACGTGCAGGTTAACAGATGGACAGCCGTTATTAGGAATCTGTATTGAGGTCAGTTCTTTCTGTTCAGCCAGTACCACCCTGAAAAGGCTTAAGTACAAAGGGGCAAAGAGTCTAGTCCATTCTGCCTTTCACCCAAATCAGCAAGTCCTTTCTGGTCTCCTACATTAGATACCTCACTCTCGCAGACGTACGCTCAGAAGACAAATAATCTCTCCTTGCCAGAAATAGGCTAAGGTCATAAATCATGCATGCACGGGGAGGAAAAGAAAAGTAATATAAACACGTTCCTCCTAAAAATAGTAGTAGCCGAAACACCCACTTTATTTGCAGTGAAAATAAATGATTCCAGACTTTCATGGTGCTTAAAAACTACTCCAAGCCCGAATGAGCCCTCTGTGTGCTCTTAACAGTGAAAGCCATCAGTCCAGTATGGAGCTGGGGGTATAGCCAGAGTTCTTTACTACTGTGGTGCGAGGGTCAGGGGTATTACAAGGGAACAGAACCATCGGTGTACACAGTGGAAGGGGCTAGGGGTGTCATCTGGGGCAATGTGTGAAATCCAGAGCTCCTACCTCGCTTGCTGTTTGCAACGTGGACAGAAGGGGCAGTGGACAACGCAACTTGAGGAGCTACTAGACAAATTAAAGAACAAACAAACAAATAAATAAATAAAACATGATATTGCAATTAAAAATTACAGAGAATTAAGAATAACAGGCATCAATGCCCAGTGGGTGGCGGAGGAAAAAAAAAAAACTGTACAAAGGAAACAATTATGAATGATGGCACTGGGAAATAAGGAGTGACGTTGCCAAGTGAAGCTGGCTGCATGTAGCAGCATCTGTTACAAATGCCTTAGATAATGAACAAAATAAATATTATGGTTCCCCTTTAATGCTTCATTTCATTAACAACCACTTGGTACAACTCAAATCCTCTGTGTGCGCGTCCCCTGACAGAAATTAAACATTTATAAACTGCTCTGCACCTCCAGGGGAACCAAGCCAAGAATTTTTAAACTAAAATTTGTGCACAGGAGTGTTTTCTCTTTACTCTCTTCTGGTAAGAAAAGATCAGAAACTATGGGCCCAACCGTTGCTTTTGTATTGGGAGACGTAAGCCTGAGGAACATACACTTTATATAGTTGGCCGTAGTCATGGAAACATGGAGTGGAGTGCTTGTGTGCAAGTTATTTGCAAGGGAGATATGCATCATGATGCATGCTAAAGCAAACTAAGATGAACTCGACGTCTTCATAGAAACAGTGAAACCTCTCCTGCTTTTCTGTTTAATTAGATGAAGATGAATCAAATATGTCAAACCCAAGAGCCATGGGCTAAATCTGGTGCCCCAAGATGATAATTTAAATGTAAAATGTTGTATATCTTCTAATTTTTTCTTAAAACAAACCCTGATAAATACATTGTTTAGTGTAGACTTCTCTGGCCAGCTGGCTACCTATGAAGCCAGAAAGACGGCTGGATCATTCTATCATTGATTCTAATGTGGCAAGAGCAACAGAACGTCAAGGGAGACAGATCTAACTCTTGTTCCTGAACCTGCAACCAAGAAAATATGTCGGGTATCTGACTCGAGTTAATGCATCAGCTGAAAGTGACCTATGGCTCGGACGAAGTTAGAAAATTTTGGCTCCTTTTGGTAACTGATTTTGACACCCCTGCTATGTATTGTACAAATATTGGATGCAAGAGAGGGTAAAGCATCCTTTTGGATCATATTGCAACATGAGCGCCTCACAAATGCACAACCCTCCTATTAACCTCTAATCATAAGCAAAACATTGATTTTCTAGTTTGTCTGGGAGCCTGAGGGGGAAAAAAACACCTCTCCAGAACATTTTTTTGGCTACCAAGGAGCCAGTTTTTAAGTACTTGCTGTAAATTCATCTGTGGAAAGACACAACTGTTGCATAATCTTAGATGCCTACCTTCTTTTCGGTTTGCAACACCTAGGGATGAGACATTCGGCCGTACTGCGTGCAATTGAGAGAAACCAGGAGTTATTCACGTGTCCTTGCGTGAGGCACTTAACAGATTGTCTAAAGGAGGGAGAGGGGAGGGAGGGGACTCTGTGGTTGTTGACACAGACAACTGGAGACAAGAACATGTCCGGCACGGCTCAAATCAGTAAGTCAGGAAACAACAAATACAATGGGGCAGGGCTGACATGGATGAGGTGTCCAAAGACCCTTTTAAGAGGACACTGGTGAGTCATTGTGTGTAGTTTGTATATTTTTATGGACTTGTAAGAGTATGTTTGTGACAATGGTAATGATGAGTGGAAAAGTGAAACAAAACAAAGATAAAACCCTGCTAAACGCAACGTTTCATACATGATTTATGCAAGGGATTCGATACTACGTATAGCAAATGGAGACATTAGGGGGCATTTTGTTTAATTCATCACATTGACTATGTAATCAATATCTAATTATAGTGTATTTCTGTTGGAGGAATAACAATGAATAAATAATGGCAGGTGTTGGTACTTGGAATGACGGACTGCTGTGGGGAGCATAACCTCATAATTACATTCTAGTCAGTATTTCCGTGTCAGGGAAATACTTTGCGGTTGGAAATGGAGAAGACTCGGCCAAAGGGAGGAACACGGATACATTTTCTCATTGTGTCCCTCCGGCTCTTCTTTGATCTTACCGTCCTTTTGCTATTGACTCCATGAATCAAGCAATCTCAGCCAATTAACATCCATATACCCTTGGCAAAAAAAACCCCCAACTATTTCCCTAACTACGTGTTAAAAAAAGAATACGAGTGTTCTACTTAAGATGCAGATTTTTTTGTAGCTAATCCTGAAAAGGATGATTGTTTTAAGTTTCTTTTGATGTACTAGAGTTAAATAGCTTTGCGTTTGGGATATCTTATATATAGACGTTCTCTAGAGAAATTACCTAGAATCGAGGTCCATCAGGTGTCACTAACACCGATGGGTGGTTTATTGAAGTTTTCAGAATAGTTCTTCTGGGGCCCTGTTAGAACGCTGAGACGGTGATAAACCATGACCATCTAGAGAAACTATAGCATTATAGGTCATGCAGGATTAGTGGCCCTCGAAGACCATGATTGGACACCCCTGATCTACAGTAGCTATAGTGTCATAAGTATAGATCTACCACTGGGTGGTAGACCTTTCTATCCCTAACTGTCTGACAATGGACTGCCTTTTCAATGCAGGTCACCTCACTACCTGAATATCAATGAACCGATGCCTTCATCTGTCTCCGACTGCCTTCATGATGTCCTGCTCTGAGGACTGGACGAGGTTGGACAAAAAGCCTAGCTTAGAGGTTTGGTGTGAGACCTTAAAAGACTTTCAAATTCAATTTCAAGTTCAATGCAATGGTCACCCTAGCCCACGGATGTCAAATCCTGGCTCTCAAGGGCCACTATCCCACGTTTTACTTGTTTCTCTTATCCAACACACCTGAATCTATTGCTGAATTACCTCTTCATATTCTGCAGAAGCTTGTTAATCACCTATTGATCCAAATCAGCTGTGTTGGAGCAGGGAAATGAGTAAAACATGCAAGATAATGGCCCTAAAGGGCAAATATTAGGCACTCCTGGTTTAGAACATTTAATATAAGACAGGGGTGTGCAATCCTCATCTTTGAGTGACACAAATGGGCATGTTTTGCTTGTTTCCCTGCTC